AACTGTACTTTCGACCATTCAGTGACCGTGCTTCTATTTGTTTTGAAATTTTAGGTATTTGCGAAAATGTAATAGTGAACACAAATATAGGACAAGGCTATTTATTCTCAGTGTCTAGAAATGGACACGTCTTGCTGCTAGTAATACTTAGCACTCGCCGCTTTTCCGTCTCGTGGTCATTAACAATAAATATAATTTTATTACAGATAGAGCCAACCATAATAATTTATGACAATATAAAAGTTGTTAACAGTGTTACCTTTCAACCCTCTTTCTATGGTAACATTTTACGTGGTTACACGCCTTTATATGGAAATTACACGTGGGAGAATCAAAGTCTGTGAAAAAAGGAGCAATATCYAACCTGGTTTTTTTTTATTCTTTGGCTGCGTCTTTTTTTCTGTTGCTATAAATCACTTGCCTTGCTGCAAGTTGCTAGGAATATTTAGCACTCACCGCTTTTTTTTCTCRTGGTCATTGAGCAATAAATATAATTTTATTGCAGATAGAGTCAGCCATAATAATTTATGACAACAAGGTTGCTGACAGTGTTATCTTTGAACCCTCTTTCTATGGTAACATTTTACGTGGTTACACGCCTTTATGGAAATTACACGTGGGAGAATCAGTCTGTGAAAAAAGGAGCAATATCCAACGTGTTTTTTTTTTATTTTAAATTCTTTGGCTGCGTCTTTTTTTCTGTTGCTATTAATCACTTGCCTTGTGTTTTGTAATTATACGTTTTGATGCTACCTAGTGAGATATGCTCTATTTTGACCTTTGTCGAATACAATTAAAGCCAAAATTCAGTAACTGAAGGCCAACATTGTATCAGACTTCCATGCTTAAAAGGTATTTAGAATATGGTCACACCCACTGATCTGCCAATCAGCGTCCAGTATTTCAGCATTCTATATCCCATAGAGAAACTTAGGTGGTGGGGTAAAGAAGTATTCATAGTGACTCTATATAGAGAGCATACTAATGAGGCCTTTTGTTTGTCTTTGCTTAAATGCCTCATTAGTATGCTCTATATAAAGAGTCACTATGAATACTAATTACTTAACCCAATAAAACTGAATATACGACAACAAGAAAAAGTTGGCTATAATACGTAAAATATGGAATTCGATTTGGACAGAAAATGTGTGCATGAACAAGAATCTCAATAATAAACAAGAAAAATGCAGTTTCAATGCCAAATGGATATTTTATATATGACAACCACATAATAAATTTCTTAATTTTTCAATCGAAATGAATCTAACAAATCAGATAATTATCTAGCGTCTACACTCTTTAAGTGTCAATTGAAATTAAAATTTTTAACGTGTCTCACCGTGCTCCACAACCAACGAGGTACAGACCATGCTGTGTTTTCATTAACAATCCTTTCTTTTTCTCTCTTCGCGATATCTTCATTTCTAGTAACTTTCAATGAACTTATTTTTGTCGCCATCTTGTTTTTCATAAGTCGCTGAAGTAAGCAGAAAGGATTCCGGACTCAAAAGACACAATAAATCTTGAGTGACCACAACAGCGTCGAGCTCCTCAAGCTCCGTGTATTGACTCATACTCAAAGAAATGAATGATTCAAATCATGCTCAAAATCATAAAMACTGCATGAAGAATAAACGACATTCCGTCAAATATTTTAATGTTTCATAGATAAAAGGACATCTCTCTCAAATGAGTTCATTATAAAGAACATCAAAAATGTGTAACGTTAAAAATATCTTCGTGGTTAGTGTAACCATATCTTAAGACAATTAGATAATGAAAGCTCGTGTCCTATGGGATATAGAGTCCCGGGGGCTTCGCCATCTATATCCCATAGAACACTTTCTTTCGTTATCTAATCGTCCTCTCTTCTCTTTCTCTTTCTTTTTATCTCTCTCTTTCTCTCCTCTTTGTTTCTTTCTTAAGCTCTATGTATTTAAAGGGCCGTAGCCACCGGTAGTGTTGGTCCGGTTTCAACCGGGAAAAAATATAATAAGAAAAATATAAAAAATATAAAGATATAAGAAAAATAATTAAAAAATATAAGAAAAACTGAAAACCATCGAAAACAGGACCAATCAGAAATTTGTGGCTACGGCCCTGATTTGTAACTTGTCTTGCAATTTGTACTTATACGTTTTGATGCTACCTAGAGTGATATGCCCAGTCTTTTTGGACCTTTGTCGAATTAAATTAAACCAGTGAAGCCAAAATTCAGTAACTGAAGGCAAACCTTGCATCAGACTAACGTTAACGTTGCATCAGTCAGCTTCAAAAGTATTTATAGCAGTGTCTTTCAATAATGATGTATGACGTATAATTTGGGAGCTGAAGGGGTACGAAAAAAAGGATGAAAGAAAAGAAGCAAACCTTGCATCAGACTAATGTTGCATCAGTCATGCTTCAAAAGTATTTATAACACTCTCTTTCAACAATGATGTATGACGCATAATTGGGGGGAGGGGGTGGGGATATGAAAAAAAGGAAAGAAAAGAAGCAATAAGTATTTTGTTTCGTTATACTTAATTAAGTGGTATCACCTGTTTGAACATTTCTGACCTAAAGCCTATCAAATAAAAATGAAAACTGATTATCATAAAGAATACTCGAGAAAGACCACACAAGATATTAAGTGATATTATAACACTATTAGTGTCCATGTCAAAAATTAAAAAATATTAATAGCAAAGAAGACAAATTGCTCTTAATTTATTTTGAAGATTTCAGAAAAACGTTATGAAGGCGATGACATCTCTGGCCTTCCTTTATGAAGGGGTGAAGGATGGGGTATTACTATAGATTTGTCGTTAACCAAAAACAAAAACAAATCTCATGTTTTCATACATCAAAATATGTTGTGTACAACTCAGTGATCATAAAATCGCGTAACCAAGAAATCTATACCAGTACGATAATTATTGACTTTGCCATGGAAACGTATACACACAGACACGGCAAATCGAACCATATTGCCTAGCAGCTCTTTGATTACCTTCATCTGTCAGCCCGTATAGGCATATAAAGGCATGGAACTTTCTCAATCCCCTTCATTCAAGCGTTGAAATCTTTGGCGCAAGAAGGGCTGATCATACTGCTACGATATGAGGCTTTACATTGCTTTACTTGTTGTTTTCTGTGCTACTGCCTTGAAGGCTAACCCTCTCTACTATGTCGGGCCTGTTGAAGGTATTGAAGCCAAATTGAATACGATTTATCCACAATTTGCTTTGTTATTTTCTTTATTATTATTATTTATTATCATTGATATTTTTTATTGCCTTTAGTGCATCCACTATATAAAGTTTACTAGTAGTCGTATTTTTATTGAAATCGTGCATCGCATCGTATTACATCTTTTTATTTTTATTTTTAATATTTTAATTTTGTAAATCTAAGATAGTATCGCATCATAGTTAAAATGAAGAAACTTGGCACATCTTTAAATTGTAAACCATTTCACTTTACCAGCATTCGCATTTAAATATTAGATTGTAATATCATTCCATTTCTTGATCTTTAGCTACACCAAAACCCCCAACAACTGCTAGAGCCGTATATCATGTAGTGGTTGATACACCYAAACCGACTGTTGGTACAGTTGATAACGGAGGCAATGAGGCATATGGTAAGAGACTACACATCTCTTTTCTACTACAATGGTATACAGCTATTTCAAAAAATGCTGAATACTTATATAAAAAAACTTATATTTTTGCCACTCCCCTTACGGGGCTCTTCAGTGAGGTTCGCTCCCACGCACTTCCTCTACATTCTGTATTCGCAAAACACGTAAAACACTGACTCACATGGTTGATTTTTACAGAGGAAGGGAAAATGTATATATCATATATCTTGACTGAATAATGCATACTGAATAGTGCATTCGGCCAAGACCAAAAGGAATATCATGTGTCTCGTTAGTTTTGGAATGCAACTCGTAATATACGATGATCATAATTTGCTTTATTATTTTCTTTATTATTATTATTATCATTATTATTATTATTATCAATATCATCATCATCATTGTTATTATTATTATTATCATTATTACTATCATTAATATCATTATTATTATTATTACTATTAATATCATTATTATTATTATTTTATCATTATTATTATTATTATTATCATTATTTATCATTATTTGATTTTTTAATTGCTCTCTATATATAACTAATACATTGCTACGGATGGTATGCAGCATTCACTATATTTTTCTAAATTGTTGTAGTTTACCTAAACGTATGCTTCAAATTCATCTCGACCGAATCACAAGTTTATTGATCTTATATTTTTCTTTTCTCTTTTTTTGCAAAGCGCCAGCTACAACCCCGTCGGTGGAACTAAAGCCAACACCCCAGCCATACAGTCAATCACCTGCATCATCCTCGTCAAAATCAAGTTCAGCTAGTCGACCATCCTATCGACCATCCAGTCGGCCACATTCCTCTTCAAAATCGGTATCAAAATCAGGATCAAAATCAGGATCAAAATCAGGATCAAAATCAGGATCAAAATCAGGATCAAAATCAGGATCAAAATCAGGATCAAAATCAG